GTAATACACAAAATTGTTTTGCTTTATTAAAGTTTGGAATCGATCGGAGTCCGTCCGTCTGTCCGTCCGGTCGGCTGGTGCACACGATAACCCTCGAAGTGAGCAACCGATTTCGTCCAAACATTGTACATCCCCCACAAAATGGTAAAAATTTGGCTAAAAATTTATTTAACTTCTATTTTCTGCTCGATTGAATACATCGTAAATTATGTTTCGTATAACTGAAAACATTTCCCAATATGAGTTAAGACAACCATACCACCTCTAATTTAAATATGTAAAAAACACTCTGATTTGTAGCGTTTGCTGTTGCTCTTTTGCAGCAATTGGTGACGGGTTTTTTCAGGGAATTGTATTCACCCTGCATTCTCACAACAGTTTTAATGTGAATACGATTCAATACAAGATCTATTAATGAGGTCAACAAGCTAGCGAAAGTCAGCTGTTTTTCTGAAGTCTAATATCAACAATTGTACTTTGTTTACGTTTTCATAATGGAAGTCAATTCACAAAAATGGATTTTGACAGCAAACTGGAGAGGCAGCTGATATCCAGCTGGTCTCCTTGGATGACCTTATTAATAGGCCTTGATTCAACCCTTCTTAATAGGCAAAGCCTAGTCATCCAGAGAGAACAGCTGCTACCCAAGTTTTCTGTCAAAATTCATTATTGTGAATTGACTTCCAAAACGTAAACAACGGCTCAATATTTGACAATAGACTTGAGAAAAACAGCTGACTTGCGCTAGCTGGTTGCCCTATTTAATAGATCTTGGGCTATTTAATAGATCTTGATAATGAAGATCCTTTCTGGCATTCATGCCTATTCATGAGCTTTTTGTTATTGTTGTAGCAACAGATACATGTAGTTTGTCATTCATCGTCGGGTTTTGCTTCCTCTACCTCCAAATTCAAGAATGTTGCAACTTGAACGGATTGAATCCGGCGATAGAGTCGGCTTAGCTGCGCATTTCAAGAGGTACAACGTGTCATGTGTTCCTAGTCCTCATGCAGGACATGTGTTAGGTATCGAGCCGTCAATTCTTGCCCAATATAAATTGAGGCGGTTGCACCATCCTTATCTTAGTTGAGCTAAGACTACTCGTGTTTGCCTCGACAGCTGCTTCTCCTCTGCTGCGATGGTTGGGGGTGGTCTCCAATTATGGTATTCACGCGATATTGCTCTACTGCCTGAGCGAATGCGTCCATGTGAATACCATTCAGACCTGTTTGACAGGCTTCTTGATCTAGGGGTTCACGCTTGTACCTTTGGACGTCTCTCTCTCTAGATCATGAAGATTTATCCTGACGTGCCTGGACGGGGGAGTCCTGTCCATAAGACTATGGCAAGCAAGTACTGCATCGACCGTGTGAATACCATTCAGAGCTGCTTGATAGGCTTCTTGATCTAGGGGTTCACGCTTGTACCTTTGGACCTCTCTCTAGATCATAAAGATTTTTCCTGACTATGACAGGGATGTTCCCGACGATAGCACCCAAGCAAGAACTGCATCAACAACATGTAAATGTGACGATGGACGCGTAAGATCTTCGTCTCCTCCTGAAGATGGTCCACAGGAGTCATGATGAGACACCCTGTTGCAGTTCTCAGGGCAGCATTCTGGCAGGTCTGGATATTCTTCCATTACGTATCACTAACATTCGCGAACCACGCTGGCGCCGCATAGCTTACCACTGACCGGATTATTGCTTTATAAGAGGTCAACAAGGTAGCAGATTTAAGACACTGCACTGCTTTAACACAATGTACAGAGGTTCTACGATTTGACGCTAGTTTAAAATCGTGCCGTGGAAACGCCATAAGGCGGTGGTTTGGCGGTTTAATAACTCCCCAGCATCGACAGCACCTGGTTGTGTTGACGCACACGAAGCACCTTCATCTACTCATGCGAGTGATCTATTGGAGTCATGAGGAGACACCCTGTTGCAATCGGGGCGGTATTCTGGAAGGACCACACTGGAGCAGCAAGGTTTCTTTATTCGCTCCACAATAGTTGCCTGCAAGCCGATATGAGAACCTTGCTTCTCCTCGACCTTATCGTTAATAGCTGTGGCAAACGCTGACGCTGACTTTTACAGGTTATCCATTGCGACCCCTCGATCCTTGTAGTAATTAGTGGTCGGAATTGTGAACCCATCGACGTACACATTCAGAGATTGTTCATCTCCGCAGTACATGCGACCGGTGTGTCCGTTAACTTTGTAGTGGAATATATTTGTTTAACCTATCGCAAATATCATCAATTTTTGTTCCAGACGTCATGTCCGTCAACGCTGGGAGAGTAATTCCAGAAAGTTATATGTTAGACAGATATCACCCAACTTATGCTAGGGAGTAGCAATGCCTCAAGAGTCTTAATTACTGCTAACATGGGTTAGATAGGTCTATAAGATTTACCTTCGCTAGCAAATTTACCATTAGGATGTCACATTCAGGGTTTTGTTTAGGTATTCTACTCTTCGCTCGTCCATCTGCTTCAACATCACCATAGAGATTCTATCAGGACCAAGTGCATTGGATGACTTTGTGTTTCTGATGGCATTTGCAACATCTTCCAACGTAAATTGCACAATACTCTTCTCTTCGGTCTGTCCCTAACAGGATGCTCTATGAATCACCGATTAAAATAATATCCTCTTTGGATATGTCATTAAAAGCCGTTAAACAAGACAAAAGTCCAATCATACTTTCTTCCTGTGAGCGACTTAATCGTTGCCACAACTCACTCATTCGGTTCGGTGGGAACTCTATTCATCTGAATTCACATAATTAAACCCCAAAGTTTCCTTCGGATGCCGTGAAGGAAGAATGATTGCACAAGTTCCAATACAGGCATATGGATCTTAAATATACAGAGTAGTTTTCGAGCCGAAAGTATTGTTGCACATCGTTGATCGTTAGTTGATCGACTTGATCAATAATACTTACTTCTTTTCGATTAGCAATATTTCATCTTGTGATTACTTCAGGTAATAGTTGAGATATCGATTCTATTATATTAGAAGGTACCATGCGGATATCTTTCCAGAAAAGTACTACCTTTCTAATTATTTATTTAAAAAACTTATTACAAATTTGGCACTTATTTTCAATACATGGACATAAAACATAAACTAATCGCAAGGGATTTATTGTAAATTGTGATGTTAAAACTTCAAACATCCTTTTCATTAAGCTCCACTCTTCTATACCATACTACGTGTAGAATGTGAACGATAGGTGGGCATATCCAAAACAATCTTACGGCGACGACAACACCAAACAATAGACCAAATGATCAATATTAATAAAATCAGTAGCAGAATGACACCCAAGGTAATTGCCGCAATCGAAGCTTCATTCAAGACCAAGTCTCGTACATCAATGCTATAGGATTTTTGATTACCGACAACATCATAAGCCACAAGGCTAACTTTGGGTTCACAACAACTTGCTATATAGGTAGTCTTCAACGGTTCATTGCTGCCAATCACATAGGAGTTGGTGTACATTAGACCTCCAGTAGGATTGGACTGCAGTCGCATCACACCCGTTTGCCAATCCCGCGCCGTTACATATAAACTCCAAAAACGTTCGCTACATTCGATGGCATCCGACGTGGAGATACCATCACAGCGGCTGCCAAAGGTCCAAGAGAGCTCGGGTGCAGAGTTGTCCTTAAGTGGGAGCGGGATATTTAGTAAGTTTCTTCTATTTTATGGGATTTTGACTCACCTGTATATCCGATGCGGTGACAACTTTAAGATTCAATGATAACGATGTGGTTTGTCCCACTCCAGTTGTCGAAAATGTTATGTGATCCACAGTACCTGCCTCAGTACCTTGGGGTGCCAACACGGTTACTGTGACGGTGGTCATTTGACCTGGACTTAGGAAAAGGCTGCAAGGTATTAAAAACATAAAAGTTATTAAAATAAAAAAAATACAGGCTTAGGAGTTGGATAACTTTTGGAACTCTTAATGATCAATCTAGAAATGTTTAGACTCTCAGATAGAGAGTCAAGCATAGTCTCCCAAGAAACAATCTCCTTGATAAATGTTATCCCAATCAAAAAATTCTCTTCTTACCTCTGTGGTGCCAATCGCATCAGATAACGCTTTTCATCCACCACCTGAATATTATAGAGGATACTATCACACCCCGTATTGGTTACTTCAAAATATAGCTGACCCATCATTCCGGCCGATATCAAAACTTGTGAATGAATACCCATTTCAATTTTCGTATTTGTTCTCTGCAACACATTCGTAGTTCGAGGATTTAATATTGCATTTTGCGCCGGAATGCTAGCAGTACTGCTAGCATTGACGGGCAATATTTCAGCTTGGGTGTTATGATGAATTTCTGTCGATGAAAATGTTTCAACTTGGGTCTTGGGTTCATTTTTCATTTCCTTATCATCGGGAAAACGTAAACTACCATGTGTCGGAACTTTAGCAATTGTCAGACCCGATGTAATACTTTGTATTTTACTATTACGCAAACGGGCCGGATAGAGAGTGTGACCTTCGTACAGATAGGTTTCAAAGTGTTTGATGACATCGTCTGGAACGAAAAGGGAAATTGTAAACGAAACTTCGTAACAATGCTCTTGTAGACCTATAAAATAATTTATTAAAGCCATCATATATAGCTCAAGCAGTCCTTAACAATATTCTTCGAAAAATGTTCGTATATGGATATAAGTTTCACTTAGATGAGTAATGAGTATCTTCTGCTCAAATAGAATGAACAATTATCCTCAACAGCACCTGATCAGAAGCATGCTAACAATGCTACTCCTGCATACTTTTTGATATTCGGACGGACTCCGAAGTAAATTCTACGAGGTAGTATACGTCATGAATCGAAAGATCGGAGAAAGAAACCCAGTTCAATGAAAATTTTGTAACCATCACAACGCTGTAGATGGTTACAAAATTATCCTGGCGACGGATCGTTCCATAAGTGAAACTGAAACACTATGTTCAATACAGACCTAATCGCTTGAACTAGACCCTAGTGACTTAAAACTCTAGTGAGGTAAAAGTGCTCCAAATGTTCATGCTGCCGATTAAAGGCTGTCATTTCCCTAGCAATAGTTCATAGAGTTCAGTAACTATCACTTCAGAGTTCAGTAACTATCGCTTTCTGACGAGCATCTCTTCTGTAGCTCATCAGAAACGAAACATACGACGAAAATACGTCTATTTTTCCCTTCAGAGACCGACCGTCTACCAAGTGAGCCCACTGTTTTGGGAGAAACATAGCTGGGAGCCGCATTCTATTCTGAAGCGATTAAAGCTAAATTTTCCTGACCTAACTCCTACTTCTCCATTATGATTCTCTGGAACAACGATTTGTGAAATCTCTGAACACTTTACAATTGGCTATCCCATGATTAATAAAAATACGGCGTTTAGAAATTATAAAGTCGGGTGGTCTATGACCCCAATGAAATGACGGTTTGCCATGTTACGTCTCCTATAGATCCTCGGAACACAAACACACACCAACAGAAATACAATCGTTCGGATTTGGGCTCATCACATCTGAACAACTCACTTTCCCTAACAATAGGAACATCATCCCTTCTGAGGATCGGGGAGTAGAGAGGAAATCCCGAAATCATTACATCCGCTTGGTATATGTGAATTCCCGAAGCTCAAGCTTTTTTCCAGCAGAGCATGATGAACTTCAACAATCTAAACTCTCCGATAAAAGCCGGACATTTTAATCTGTGGCAAAATGTTGGTGGAACATAAGGGAAATTGAAAACTGTATGTGTGGGCAATGGTTAAGTCGTTCTAGAACCCTGAAAAATGGATGATAAGTGACCTAAGTCACTTTAAAGGACTAGCATGAAGATTTGTGCCAGTTATTGTAAGCGATAGTTTGTCGAGCATTCTGGGTGTAATGTTTCGATAGTGAATGTGGGAAGCGAAGTGCACTAAATCTTAAGAGACTATACCCCGGAGCCATGGGATTTCCGCCCTAGATCAACAGATTAGCCGCGTCGTTTTTAAAAACTGAAAACATTTTTTACGGGACTCATAAAGTCGAGAATAACGTTCAGGCTGTCTCGAGAGACGAGTTGAAGGTCGTAATGTTTTGATAGATGATCTGATGTTCAGATTTCTAGCTGGTCTGACTATTACCATTCACGTTTAAACGTTTGTAGTCCAATGTTGCCCACAGGCAAAAAAGGGGAAGAACATTCTCGAATCAACTTTCGGAGACAGGCGGCCTTCAAACTCAAATTCCAAGTCTGAATATGAGGATCATTACTATTTTAGAATGCCGGAGGAGTGAAGAGACCGATAATATGAGTAAGGATGTCGTTAATCTCACAACAAGGAAGAATCAGTTATCTGGGGCGCAGATTTGGCAAAACTGGTCAAATTGAATCGGAGGAACAAAATGGAACAGCAAACGAATGCGCAGACGGATAATCTTTACTTTTCCTCCACTTCCTCGGAAGCGACAAAGAGGTTTAGGTCTCCGGTAGAGCAGGCGAATGTCAAGCCCGGCAGAAAGAAAAAGAGCTGCTAAAAAGAGAAAAGTGAGCCAACCCGGGAATCCTAAAAGAAATAACCGGACTTTAAGAATAAGGAAGAGAGTAGCAACCATTGGTAAGAAGTGGAATCCTCAGAAGGATAATCCTAACCTTCCCTCAACTTCCTCGGAAGCGGCAAAGATGATCAGGTTTCCGTAAGAACAGCCGAGTACCAATCCCGCAAGAAAGAAAAATAGCTTCCCGTCGGCTGATAAAAAAGGGAAAGCTGCGCCCACCCAACATTAAAGGATCAATTGACTGAGGGCAGCGAAGATGGCTCTAATATCAAGAAGACAAGCACTGAATCTGAGTATTTTGTAACGAACGGGAATACCAAACGGGACTCATGTTACACTGCTGCCAGGGGTCACCTCATCCAATTCAAAAGGGACTATCAAATACTAGAATTTGAGTCATCAAATAGCATAGAAATCCTAAGGAAATTAGTACTAAATTTCGTCTCTATAAGCTGATGAGGAAAAGAGACATTCCTTAACTACAAAAGGCAATGGTCTTCGTCAGAGGTTGGGACAGCGAGTTCACGACAGAACTCACGTTCGAAGTCTTTGGTCTGCAGAACATGATACTGCTGGTGAAAAAGTATGAAAGTTCTCTACAGGGAGGAGAAAAAAAGAGACTCATTGGGGTAGGCTTGGACAGGTCTTCAATGGCATGTCTTACCAAAACTACGGGTAAGGCGTACTACGTGTCTAATGCCGTCTACTTCAACATTGGGAAGGCACGGATTGGACAAGAGGAAGCCACACCCAGCTACAAAAGTAAGGGAGCCAAGGAGAAGATAACCGACTCCCAAGAATATCGTTTACTGGAGGGTAATTGATAGAGACTTTCCAGATAAAATTACATCGGAGTGAGGCAGCAATAATAGATGTTTTTAACAAGGAGGAGAACGAAAAAGAGACTCTCCTTATGGTGGGTCTTAATGGCAAGTCTGTCTACTTCAAGATTGGGAAGGCGCGTATTGGAGGGGAGGAAATCACACAATGTAGCGAGGGAGAAACACCCAGCAACAAAAGTAATGGAGCCAAGAAGAAGATAACTGACTCCCAAGAATGTCGTTTACTGGAGGACAATTGAGACCATCCAGATTAAACTTCATCGGAGTGAGACAGCAATAATGGATGTTTTCAACAGGGAGGAGAACGAAAAAGAGACTCTCCTTAAGGTGGGTCTTCAATGACAAGTCAGTCTACTTCATGATTGGGAAGACACGTATCGGAGATGAGAATGCTGCACAAAGTTGCGAGGGAGAAACGACGAGCAACAAAAGTGAGCTTGTATATATATATATATATATAATCCAGGAAGCATGGGCTGATAAAGCTCGTAAATGATCAAGTCATTTACGCATTAACAGGCTCCTGTTTTGGTACACGATTTGAGGCTCATAGATGAATCATCTGAATCACTTAAATCTCCAAAGCGCTGGTTCGATGAGCCGGTAGTTGTGTACCTTACCTGCCTGAAATTTAATGTGGACACACTAATAAATTTAAGGAGCTATCAGGAAGCTTCGAAGCTTTAAGCGCGAACGATAATTTATATTTTTCATAAGGAGATGCCCTTTCACAAATGAAGCTTTGTAGACCTCTTATGGAGATATATTTCGTTATGTGGTCATGTATGTGGCGCCCAAGATATTCTTTATATTTTTCAGGGACAGTCGTGGTTTGAAGCTGGGATTTTTAAGAATATATTTTAATGGTTTATCGTAGACATAAACATTTAATAATCCTCATTATACAGTAGACCACGGATATAAGAACATCAAAATAATCGATAAATTTTGTTCTTATAAGCGGATTTTTCTTATATGCATGTATTTGATATAATAAACAGTTTTCTTATATGGCGGAAACATTTTCTTATGTCCGTGTTTTTCTTATTTAAGATGTTCTTATATCCGCGGTGTACTGTAGCTTTAATGGTCTGTAGTGTCGTCACAATCCTGTATTGGCATCACTATTAATACATTTGAACATGGCAACACTGTAAAATGTTATCTATTGTTTATCCATCATTATCCATTACTGTTTCTCATATTCATAGTTTGTACATATGTAGTTCATTTTAAGATCTAATGAAGAGTTATCGTTTGTCTACTGAAGTAAAGACATAACCATGCCCTATAACTAAAGTCACCCAGGGAGACCAGCTGGAAATCGATACCTCTCAAGTTTGCTGTCAAAATGCCTTATTGTGAATTGACTTCCATTATGAAAACGTAAACAAAGTCGAAATTTTTGACATTAGACTTGAGAAAAAAACAGCTGTTTTCCGATTTCGATTGCTACCTTGGTGACCTTATTAATAGATCTTGGACATAACATGGTCTATAAAAAAGAATCTCTACAAATCCACCCTTGAATATTTGTTATTAAGCAATAACCCCACCTTATAAGTAGCAATTATGCTTGCAGTTTGATTTATAATCAAACAAATCAAATCCTAATCTCTTATTTATGACGTAGTTGTACATTTTCCTATTTATTTATTTTTAAAATTGTTCTAACTGACCCATATAGCGGCGGATTCTTATCTATCGTTTTCCTATTCTGTTAACTAATCAAACTTATCAAACAGTTGTTCAATACGAAGCCAAAAGCCTTTCAAACAAAATAATTTTATTATTTCAAAGAGATTTGAAATAAAAAATCCATTAAAACAGATTTTATTTAAATCATTTGTTTGTTTGTCATAACAAACTGATCTATATTATGTAGCTCCCGATGTCTTCTTCAAAAGGTGAATTATGTTATCATCTGAAAATTTCTATACTCAGCTATCAGCGAATATTCTATAGGTTTTGTTGTTTGTGTTTCGGTTTATTGGAAATATTTCGAATATTGTATAGTCTTCATATTTTTGCTTAATCAGTATATGAAAATTGTTCAAAGCGCCAGCAGCCAGCCAGTAGCTGTGCATTGTTAATACTTACCCAAAAACGTGTCGGCTTTACGTTCACCGCGTATAAATACGGTATATTCATCGGTTAAATTTTCCGGTATTATTTTCAATTTATATACCGAGGCTTTGCGTAATTTCGTCAACGGTACAAAGGCATCCAAACGATTATCATCTTCGGGTGTTATCATAAAGGGGATTTTAAATTTTACTAATTTTTTCAAATTGATATCTAAATGGAGAGAACAAAATGAATGAAAATAATGATATTTAAAATTAAAGTGAAAAATAATAATGTTTACTAATAGTGAAAATAAGTAAAACATGTTTAAGCGTGTTTAAACGATTACCTGATAAATAAAAATTATATTTTTAAAGAAGAATCACAATAAATTATATGGCTATAATGTAAACACAGCATAATAAATTAAAACAATTAGTTATTGCCAACATCTGCCAACTAACGCTCATTAATAAGGCCACCCTTATTATAGATAAAGTTGAGAATAATAGCTATATTTTGTTTCCTGTCCTTGCTGTCAAAAATCCGACAATTTTATAATGTGCACTTTCCCTATCTTTACCCGTTACACTCTAGGTTACCCGTTAGGATCGTCCGCAGTCAAAAAATTATTGTGAATTGACTTCAAAGTATGAAAACGTAAACGCCGCCAGAATTTTTGTATTTACTTAAAAAATAGCTTCCAGCCGAACTTTTCAATAAGGTATTGGAAGATCAACTGTTTATTAAGATTGTTGTTGTGAATTGAATTCACAGAAACTATAAAACTAAGTCATATTAATAAGGTCATCCATGGAGACCAGCTGGATATCAGCTGCCTCTCAAGTTTGCTGTCAAAATTCATTATTGTGAATTGATTTCGATTATGAAAATGTAAACAAAGTCCAAATTTTTTACATTAGACTTCATAGATATGACTTTCGTTTGCTGGGTAACTTTATTAATAGATCTTGGACTAGACATTAAAAATAATGTCGATCATCTCTAGAGCAGCAGTGCGAAGCTCAAGGAATCCTGACAGACGACATAAAGTTCTCTATGTCTTGAGAGTTAAATTTCAGAGAGAATTTATAGATGATAGATGTTTGTCTAGTATTTCGCTAGTGACAGTGCGAAGCCCAGGGAGTCTTGAAAGTTATGTTAGTGTCCAGTATGTCTTGATAAAAAGGCATGAGTTCGAGTCGTCTTCTAAAATGACTGAAACTCAGAGAGTCTTTATATAATGAACTCTTGTCGGGAGCAATTACAACAGGGCTGAAAGTGGAAGGACGAAGCGAATGAGGTTCACATATTAGTTGCAGAATAATTGGGTAGCGTAAAATCGTTTTTAAATCCTGGGAATAAAGTTTTTGATGCATAATCCACATGCTTGACAATCATTCCACGGGTAAAAGTTCGAAACTCAGGAAGTTTTGATTGTCGAGCTAAATTCCTGCATGTCTTGATAGATAAGCTCAGACCGGTTGAAATTGAAAGGGCAAAGCGAAGAACGCTACATCGGAGAAGACTACAACTCGCAGCCAGATGATCGCAATTGGCCACCAACATCTTCTGTTTCAACATATTGTGACTTCTTCCTTTGGGCGCCACTTGACATATATATAGTGTTTACGTTCAGATTTGCACTAATTTATTGACAGTAATTGTCGACTCTACTTCCTAACGGCGCAATTAACCACCGAGGTCTTGTGATTTAACACCCTGTAATTTCTTCCTTTGGGCACCACTTGATTAATATCGATCCAAGACATTAAAGATAGAACTCGGGAGGCTATCGATACAGCCATAAGAAGCATATGGTCCTGCAAACGTCTCGACATTTCCCCAGAAACCCCTGTCCTTAGATTGATCTGTATCGCAACAGGTCCCATTCTTGGTATTTTAATGGTCTAAGATTTCCAACATATGTATTTTTAGAGTCATGGGGTCATTTTCCAAACGAAGTGGCTGTAATTTTACAGTTCCCTCATATAAGGACTTCGCCCCATTTTAGCTGTTTTGAGCATTTCCAACTTAAACCCTTATTTATAGAATGTTTTCAATAACGGTCCAGCTTTTATTTCGTTTTTATTGACGATGGAAATCTCCGTGAAGGCAATTTTCTAGGAAGGTTCTTGTTTTTGACAGCAATTCCAAATATGGGTTCGCACATATTTTTCGAGTGTTACAAGGTGGTCAGGTTCGGACGAATTTAAGAACATATTCATTTGTTTTTAATATTATCGATTAAAAAGTGCGCCTGAAACTGCATACTTTAGAACTTTTTACCGGGTTAAACTACTATATGAGGATTTATTTGAAATATATACAATGGAATTGACTATTTGAACCCATTGGATTAACGAAATCCGGTACAATGTAAACGTAATATTAGTTAACATTTTCGACATTCAACTAAAGAAAGTAGTTCATCCTGGGTGGTCTTATTAAAAAGCACTGGGCAAGTTGATTAGATAAATCATCAATCACCGCATTCCTTAAATCTCCTCAAAATAAATCCATAATTAAACGCAGCAATAAGCACGCCCATTAATACTAACCAACAATCTTCCAAATGTATATAATTTGTGATTACTAGCCAATAATTCTTCATTAAATATTATCGCCATAATATAAACGCCGGTTTAAATAATACCGTGATTTCGCGTTTAATTTCTGTACCCAATAATTCTCAAAAATCTGGCAATTCTATAATTTTCTCCCTCACTCTATAAAGTATTTGCCTCTATTGTGATTGATTCATATAAACAACCAATTAACTACCCCCACATCACACAGCTGTGAATAGTATTCCCCGCTATTGTGAATGATTCACTGATTCCCCTTTCGGTTTATCAACGACATTTGTTTACAACAGCAACAATCCCATTATTCGTCAATAACAAACCGCAAAATAAACAACAACAAAAATTATCTAGGCAAAAAAAAAAAAAAAAAAAAAAAAATGCGAAATTCATGACAAAAACAAAACGTCAAATAAGAAAAAATAAATAAAATCGTCGTCGTCGTTGTGATATTAGACAAGGGAATCTCTACGCTCTCAGTATATTCCAATAAGAATCTTAGCGCTGAGAAAGTGAAATGTATTGGACGGTGAAAAAGGAAACAAATGTGAATATTGAATATTTTTAACAACGAAATAAATTGTTGAAATGTGTTAATTATTGTAAACGAAACAAAAAATAGAAGTTACTAATTGTGTTTTGTTTTAATTATCAACCAAACGTAACAAATACAACGATACATACATATAATAATTATAGTGTGAAATACGTTTCTTTTTCTTGCTATGTGTTAATTTTTTGTTTAATATTGTAAAAATAAATATTAAAAGAGAACATCAATATTGAGGAGCAAATCTTGTAAACAAAAGGTAAAATAAATATTTTTTTGACAATGTGTAAAATTTAATTGTGCAAATTTTGATTTTCTTTGCCTGTGACTCAAGGATTTGATTTGTGTTAGTTGTTTCTATGTTTTTTTTTCTTTTATGTGATTTCATTTTCGCTACATATTACGAAAGGAAGATATAAGAAGAGAAACATACGATTTTGTTGTCATAGGTTTCGGATGGTATAGGGTTGCCATAGTATAAGTAATATTGTTGTGGTTTGTTGCAAGAACGTTTGAAATTAATTCACAAACAGTAGAATCTCGCTAATCCCGACAACATTTTGTAGTCCCCAATCCGGATTACTAAATTCTCCGGATTTAGAAGTTTTTTTTAATTGGTTTAATTTTTTAAGTGGCCATAAAATTAAATTTGTTAACAAAAATTAATTAATTTTAAAGATTCACATTTAGTATCGGATTATTATTTGTTTTCCTACAAAAATAAAGCAGCCTCAGTGTTATTCCCATAAACATTGCGGAACATCTCCTCAGTCACTGAATATAATCAAGATCTATTAATAAGGTCACCAAGATAGCAATCGAAATCGGAAAACAGCTGTTTTTTTTTTCTCAAGTATAATGTCAAAATTTTCGACTTTGTTTACGTTTTCATAATGGAAGTCAATTCACAATAATGCATTTTGACAGCAAACTTGAGTGGTATCGATTATCAGCTGGTCTCCCTGGGTGACCTTATTTATAGGCCATGAATATAATATTTCCTATTGAAAAAATATATTTATACCCTTCACCACACTGTGGTACAGGGTATTATGTCAATGTGCATATGTTTGTAACAGGCAAAAGTAAACGAGATAGACACATGGTTCCTTTTGAGAATATGCATAGAATCACTTTTTAAGTCGATTTATGCATGTCCGTCCGTCCACCTGTCTGTCCATGTTAAATTGTAAACAAAGTACAGGTCGCATTTATGATTTGAATTGGATGAAATTTGGCATAGGTCACTTATTTGGCCCTATTGATATTGGGAAACCCTATTGAAATTGGGAAAAAATCGGTTCAGATTTGGATATAGCTCCCATATATATTTTCGTCCGATTAAAGGTAAATGGCGTACCAATGTCCCTATATATCTTTCGATTTGCACAAAATTTGGTACAGCGTACTAAATTAAGTCTAGAATGATGTGTGCAAAGTGTCGTGAAAATCAGTTCAGATTTAGATATAGCTCCCATATATATTTTCGTCTGATTTAAGTTGAATGGTGTATCAAAGTCGCTATATATGTTTGGATTTGCACGAAATTTGGCACAGAGTAATGAATTAGGTATAGAATTATGTGTGTCAAGTTTCTTGAAAATCGGTTCAGATTTGGATATAGCTCCCATATATATTTTCGTCTGATTTAAGTTAAATGGTGTATCAAAGTCGCTATATATGTTTGGATTTTCACGATATATCGTCAGCTAAAATGCAAAAAGGCGTAACTAACAAAAAATTGAAAATTGACTTTTTGAATGAATATTGTGAATGTCAATAAACTACATGTGTTGACAAAGTTTTACACGTCTGAGGTCAAAAAAGAAGCTTCTATCAACAAAAAACAAAAAGACGTAACTACAAGTTTGTTTATTTGATAAATGCAAAAAGGCGTAACTAACAACAAATTCACGTTTTTACTTAATTGTTATGACTGCCATTAAACTAAATAACTAAATTTGTTAAAAAAATATAGTCTATTATTCGTCATATGCAATATCACCCTGCCGGGCATACTTTTTCATTTCACATGACATGTTTATATTTTTCATTCAAAACAGTTTTTTGTTTCTCCTACACAATTATGCTTTTGT